AGGTGGGGATTGAAATGCCATGTAATTCTATTCAACATATCTGAAATGCACCTTCTTCCATTGATTCACCGAAGGCCATAAGGTGACATCTCAAAATCAGGTTTCCATGCACGTCATGTCTGGGGCTTCAAACCGCCCAGCCAGAGGATGCCACTTGATCCTTGGAAACTCCGCATCAACAACTGGAGGCTATGTGACAAACTAGGGAGGTCCATGAGAGCCGGAACATTTTTCTGAGTAATAACGTGGAGGACCAGTGCCTCCAGTGCAGCAGTGCAGGCAAAACAATACAGGTAGGCCTTCTGAACTCTATTCTTAAGTTCTGAAGAAGAGTCATATCGACTTGAAACATTACCTCTGTTTCTCTGTCCGCATATGCTGCCAGACCCGTGAGTTTGTGTTTATTTCCATCTCTTCATCTGCTAAGAGGTGAGGATTCTTGCCTTAACAGCAGGGGACAGAGACCGCTCATGTGGTGATGCCGAGCGTCCACGGTATTTTCCTTTTATGTGAGGAGATGGATGTTGGTCACCCACTATTTGTCTATGATGTGATAACCCCTAGGTGTCTCTCTGTTCAACAACACTCCCCAGGGTCCTACCAATAACTATGCAAGTCCTGTCCTGGATTGTATTACCAAAATGCAACACCTCACATTTCTCAAAATTAAATTGGCTGTTTTCTCCAGGAGTGAGACAAAGAGAGGGATTGAATGAGATTAAAGAGGCTAGCATAGCTACCAATACTGACGCAGATGGGGAAAATGTAGTGACGTGTCACAAGTGAGTGAGTAGGTCATGCAGAGGGCATGCAGGGTTAATTGTGTGGGGGGTCTGTAGTGGAGAGGGTTAGTGGGGATGTGAGTGAATCTGTAGTTAGAGTGGTAGACCACGAGCCTTGTTGGGAGGTGGGTGCAGTAGCAGAGTTAGAATGAGTGTGAAGTAGCATAGAAAAAATGATGGAATGTACCCTCATGTAATGCAGGTCATTAACCTTCTTGCAGCAATGCTGAGCATTTCCTACGATCTTGGACTCCTCACTGACCCAGGCTGATAGGATCTGGTGCCATGGTCATCTCTAGTAGTCCTGGGGAATGGGGACAGTCCTTCTCTGCACCACTCCTTCCACCAGGGCCTTCAGATCCCTGTTATCTAAGTGGACAGCTAACTTCCCTTTCACAGTCATCTCTGGCAATTATTCCACACAGGAACCGACAGTGCAGTTCCTGATTGGCAGCACTTGACTTATTGTAAAACTGTGCTTTAAAAACGATCCCAGCAGTGGTAACCGTTTGAGGTCCCAGCAGTGGTGAGTACACTTGCCAATGGTAGAAATACAAAGGTACAATTGAGCACCAGAGATGGGATGTGGAGGTGGGTGGACTTATGTGATGAGATGAGCTATGGAGCATTATGTATGATAACTTGCATGAGATCAGGTAGAGAAACCATGTATCATAGGACATTATAGGAAGCTAGGGAAGAAACTGTGGGGCCCCTAGAAGAATATTTACATCATCTACAGCCACAGGTTTGGTGCCAGAAAACAGGAGGATGGATAATGTGCCTCTTTTTTTAAGGAAAAACTACAAAGAATAGCCAGGGAATTATAGACCCGTGAGTCTGATGTCAGTGGTGGGTAAGTTATTGGAGGGGATTTTGAGAGACAAGATTTACATTTATTTGGAGGCAAGAACTGATTAGGGATAGTCAGCATGGCTATGTGCTATGGGAAATTGTGTCTCACAAACTTGAGTTTTTTGAGGATTTGATCAAAAAGATAGATGAGGGTTCCATGGTAGATGTTGTCGACATGGATTTTAGTAAGGCTTTCGACAAAATTCTGCATGATAGAGTGATTAGTAAGGTTAGATCACATGGGATCCAGGGAGAGCTAGCTAACAGGATACAAAATTGGGTTGGCAGCAGAGGCCAGATAGAGATGGTACAAGGTTGTTTTTCAGACTGGAGGCCTGTGATCAGTGGTTCCTGCAGGGATTGGTGCTAGGTCCACTGTTGTTTGTCACTTATATAAATGATTTGGATGAGAATATAGGAAGTGCGGTTATTAAGTTTGTGAATGACACCAAAATTGATGGTATGGTGGACAATGAAGAAGGTTATCTAAGAGTGCAATGAGATCTTGATCAGCTGAGCCACTGGGCCAACGAGTGGCAGGTGGAATTTAATTCTGAGAAATGTGAGGTGTTGCATTTTGGTAATACAATCCAGGACAGGAATTGCACAGTTATTGGTAGGGCCCTGGGGAGTGTTGTTGAACAGAGAGACACCTGGGGGTTATCACATCATTAGAGGGTTCAGGCACATAGTTCCTTGAAATGGTATCACAGATAGAGGAGGTGGTAAAGAAGGCGTTTGGCATGCTTGTCTTCACTGGTCACAGCACTGAGTATAGCAGTTGGGACATCATGTTGTGGATGAACAGGGCATTGGTGAGGTCACTTTTAGAGTACTGCATACAGTTTTGTTCACTCTTCTATAGGAAAGATATCATAAAAATTGGAAGGGGTACAGAAAAGATTTACAAGGATGTTCCTGGAACTGCAGAGTTTGAGTTATAAGGAGAGAGTGGATAGACTGGGACTTTTTTTTTCCCCTGGTATGCAGGAGGTTAAGGGGTGATCTTATAGAGGTTTATAAAATCATGAGGGGTAGAGATGTGAATTGCAAAGGTCCTTTCCCTATGTTAGGGGAGTTCAAAACTAGAGGGCATAGGTTTAAGGTGAGAGGGGCAAGATTTGAAAGGGATTTAAGGGGAAAATGTTTCACACAAGGAGTGGTCTATAGGTGAAATGAACTGCCAGAGGAAGTGGTAGATGCAGGTACAGTTTCAAGATTTAAAAATCATTTGGACTGGTACAGGAAAGGTTTAGAGGGGAATCGGCCAAATGCAGGCAAATAGGATTCGTTTAGTTTGGGAAACCTGGTCAACATGGATGGGTCGGACTAAAGGGTCTGCTTCTGGGCCAAAATCCATATAGACAACATTAACTTGACCACCCTTATCACATCCTTAAAGAAATTCAATGAAGGTCATTAGACACAATCTTCCCTTAACAAATCATATTGATGGTCCTTCATTACTTCATGCTTTTCAAAGTCACAACATATCGTGTCTCTCTGAATTGATTCCAATGATTTAACTGGCCTGTAATTTTTAATTATTAATATGCCTCTCCTCTCCCGACTGTGTCTGGAGGAGGGCATTGTCACTTCCATTCCACTACTCCACTAGTCACAACATGAAATATAAAAAAAATTAGTTACCAAATTACCAAGATGACCAATTAAATACCTAATCTGTATCATCCATTGAAAGACAAGATCTATTAATTAGATTTCTCAATATTATCAAAGCAAAACTTATTCAGTGAAGATGCAATAATTGGTTAACATATGCAGTCAGTAATATAGAAGTTTAAATCTTTATCTTTCTAAATATCCCCAAAACACACAAGCAGAAAAAAAAAACAAATTCTCTGCGTGGATTGGTTTTCTGAAAGAAAACGCTTGTCAACTGGTTCTTCTTGAAGGCAAAAGGATAAAACATAGAATGATCTGTGGAATCTGTTGCTATGATATTCTGACAAGGGTGATGATCACTAATCGTACACAGATGTCTCTGGAGTCTTCTGGATACAGCTCAGGACAATCTTGAGATGTTTCTTCAATCATTTTCTCAAAAGAACAAATACATTTCACCCAGAATTTATAGAAAGGATATTATCAATTAAGAGAGGGTTCAGAAGAGATTTACCAGGTTATTGCCGGGTATAAAGAAAGGCTGGTCAGGCTGGGATTTTTTCCACTGGAGCATAGGAGGTTGAGAGGTGACCTTATAAAGGTTTATAAAATCATGACGGGAATAAGATAGGGTTAATGGTAGGTGTCTTTTCCTTAGAACAGGGGATTTCAAGACTAGAGAGCACATTTTTACAGCGAGAGGAGAGTTTTAAAAAAAGACGCAAGGGACAAATTTTTTTACACAGTGGATGGTTCATATATGGAATGAACTTCCTGAGGAAGTGGTGGATGCAGGCACACTTACAATGTTTAAAAGACACTTAGGTAAGTACATGAATAGGAAAGGTTTGGAGGGATCTTGGCCAAGAGCAGGCAGGTGGGATTGGTTTCGTTTGGGATTATGTTTGGTGTGGGCTGGTTGGACTGAAAGGTCTGTTTCCATGTTGTATGGCTCTATAAGAGAGTTTTCTTTGAGGAAATATAAGAGATCATCTGGGCAACTTGTTCTTAGCAAGTTCTCCTCTAACTTAGCTTGTTCTTAGCAGGCTTCCAACTGAACCAGACAGAATAAGCACTTCTCCTAGCCAGCCCCAGTATGACAGCCAGAGTCATCATCAGTTATGTAATTTCAAGGAAGCTCTGTTTAAAAGAACCTTCAATGTTATGACAGAAGTTTCAATGACTCTTTTTAAAGAGACTACTTCAGGCATTTCCAGAAAACTTGAAATAAATCCATTTTCTAAAATCCTTCAAAGTCCTCCAAACAGTACTAAAGTGTTTTTGTAACACCATGCTTTAATTCAATTTTTAAACAATGATGCAACATTACCAGTCCTCCAACCCTCCCATAACACTTGTGATTGGGACATATACATGTGATTAATACAGTATAGAAACTGAAAAAGCATAAGCAGACAAATTTTAAAAGGTCATTTTTTTGCTATAATGGAGATATCTAACTTTCCATAAATACATCATTAGTTTTCCAGGGTGAACAAACCTGTTCAGCAGTAAATATTAACGTATTATTTTCATTAAAAATCCAGTTACACCCCATTCAATAGCAAGACTATTAGCTAGAAAGAATACGTTCTTTCAGTTCAGTGATCCCTATGTTTAAACTTTGGAATTTTGACATCCCAACCTACATATGCACATTATGTCAGTTTCAGACAGTGAATGCTAACAGTTTCATTAATGTCATTACTATGGAAAATCCAAACTTGCTTAATGGAGGTAATTACATGAAGACCGCAATCGTTAATATTTGTTTTCTCACCTTCTGCCTTGTTTTTTTTTTGAAACATAGCACCTGCACTCACAATGCAGATCATAAGCCTCTTCTATAGACGAGCACAGCAAGTAGGTTGTGATGACTGTCTTCCGTTGCTACACTTCTGGCAGAAACCAACGCTAGGAAATTCAAATGTTCTGTGTTTTTGCCAAGCATTTTTAGATTCTATTAGCAACACTGTCAAAGCTGCACCCATTAAAAGCTACTATTGAGAATTATGTCTCACTTCTGCAGAAAGTGGCAATTCCAATCTAGATTGGAGACTCACTGTACATTCATAATTAGGTCAACCTTGGGAAATTCTGTGAAGTTGACCTATAAGTAATGTTAGCACTCCTATGTATTTGGAGCTATTTTGGTCTCAGGATTGGAAAAATCAGACTAAGACATAAAAGTTGGAAAATTTTCTACAGTCTTCTGTTAATGTTCCTATGTGTTCCACTCCCACCCACGTGTAGCAAGGTTATTGCATCGGGGAAAAATGAAAACTGAGATTTATTTGTTAAAGAAAAATTTCATTTGAGTGAATGATTCTGCATTTTGTATTTTTTTAAGTTCACTCATGAGATGTGGACATTGCTGGCTGAGTCAGCATTTTTGAACCGCTGAAGTGCATGCGCTGTTCAGACTTCATACCGATTGTTACAACTGAATGGTTTTCTAGACCATTTCAGAGGGCAGTTGACCGACCATAATTCCCTGTAGTCTGGAGTCATACGTAGGCCAGACCAGGTAAGGATGGCAGATTTCTTTCCCTGAAGGATATTAATGAACTAGATGGATTTTTCCCTGCAATCGATAGTGGTTTGGTCATTGTTAGACTCTTAATTCCAGATAGTTATTGAATTTAAATTTTACCATTTGCCATAGTGGGACTAGAACCCAGGACCCCTGCACATGAGCCGGGTTTCTGGGCTAATAAACCAGCAATAATACCACTAGGTCAACATTTCCCTTGCCTTCTTCTCTGTATGCGGAGGCCTAACAGAGAGTAAATAGCTCATGTTTTTGTCATTTGTGTGTAGTTATCACACTTACCCCTCAATATGTAGGAATATTGTCCCCAGATAAGTAGGCTTCAAGAAATGGAAAGGAGATACAAACGTTCAAATTTGCATAATAAATCGGCTAGGGTGGAATATGGTAAGCCTAAGAATTACAGTTCTTCTTTGAAAATTAACTATTGAAAGTGTGGTATATCAATCTTTCAGCTCCTAATTATTTTTGGAGATTTTGTTATGATCCCAGCTGAACAAGTCAAATTCCAAAATAAAACCTGGCTTGATAATTCTAATATTTGTAATTGGATAATGTGGTGGTTGGTCACTGAAACAAATTTACATGACTCTGCAGATATTCTTTAACAACAGAAATGTTTTGCACAAAAGAGAAAAAAAACTTAATATGTAAATATATGCTGCAGTTAAAAAGATCTTAACACTATCATAAAAGCAAAGTTTCAACCTGTTCCCAACACCATCTGTTACAATCAATCCCAGGGGAATAACTTTCCTTTCTCAGCTTTTCAAATCTTCACTTAATTGATACTTTCCAGTTTCTTTCCCTTGGACTGTTGAGACTTTATTTTAGGATTCCTTTCCAAGCGCACTGGCATGAACCTCTCACAATTCTAATAGCTTAAATATTCTCAGTTCTAACAACTTGAACATTTTGATCCAAAATCTCCTGCCCTGGAAGTTCCATAGCCTAGACACCACTTTTGAAGGTGACAGCACTGAAGGTAACAGATTCTCCTGAATGGAATTGGAAAAAACCTGGGACTGAATTTTGTCAGTCTCTTGAAGGACCCGTGCAATGATGAGTCTTTTGGGAAAATAGGGTGAAATTGGAAAAAAATCAGCTTCCTGATGTTGAGAAAAAAAGTCTGATTTTCCACTCAAGGGTTGAATGGTGAGATGAGTATCTTGCTAGTGAGTGCCAAGAAGCCTATTTGTCTTCATTTACCTCTCATTATTACCTATTCTCATCTCACCAGCATGCAGTCTACTATATCTTATTCAGTGAAGGCACACTAAACAATGGCAATTCCTGACATGAAAGGCAGTTACTTGGTGACTCCAGTTCACAGCATGCTCCTCCTCTGGGCTTCCATGTTAGCCAGCAGTGCCCAACAGTTCAGGGCATGCTCTATAAGCAGCGATTGCCTGTACACAATGATTACAGAGGTTGATATCAGACATACATTTGCTTCACCACATTATTATGGCACACCCCCGATTCAATTAGAATAGTTATGAACTTTAATGCAACTGAAACACCTTTCATTGTAATGCAGCTGCCAAGTCACCTTGCACACAGGGACAGGCATCCATTTCTTGCATTAGAACAAAAAGCACCTCAGGGCTCTTTGTTTGCTTTCTTGGCACCGACTCACTTTGTGCTAACTTGGATGCTCACAGCATCTCTGCTTTGCAGAGATCCTTTTGGCGTTTTGCCACCTCATTCTTTTAGACCCACGGTACCTATGTGTTGCCTTGCCTTCGTGCAGAGACAGGCAGTTTGTCACAGCTGTCATCAATGAACAGTGAAGGGGTGGACATGTTGCTATACAGCACTGCGTTGTGTCAATGTCACAGCTACAGCTTGTACCAGTAGTTTATGTGGCAAACACACTGCATGTGTTTCAGATAAATGGTCATGTCTCAAAGTTTAATCTTTGGAGTATTTCTGTTATTCAGCTTTTAAAGTAAAAATTAGTCTTTATTGTAGATTGAGAGTTTAATTATAAGGAATAAGGTAACGCCCTGGTATATATTAAAAAAATATTAAACCAGAGGAAGTAAATGGAAAAAGAGTAATTTCAGGATAAGTCATGACAAGGCAGCTCAGACAGGTGGAATGCTCTTCCTGTATAATGTAGGGAAGTCAGGTTAACACTTCCAGTAGCCAGATGATCACATGTACTGGAAATGTCTCCAGCTGCAAGTAATATTTGTTCTGTATCTAGAACACTGGCAGCAGTCACTCTGGAATATCTGCTAGACTACAAACTTTTGGGATGGCATGTGCAGTAAGATGGACACACCACAGGTAAAGAATATATAAAGGAAGAAAGGAAATGGGTCACCACCAGACAGAATAAAAGCTCCAAATAGGTAGGGCAGAATTACCCTGGGCCATCCACCTCTCTAACAGAGTTTGTGCTTTGGATATTGTTGGGAGGTATGGTTTCTCAGGGGATGACAGTGAAAGGCAAGTCCATGGTCTCAAGGGTAGCTCAACTGCACGGTATGGGGAGAAATGGAAGAGTGGAAAGCAATGGAGATAGAAGATTCTGTCATAACAGGGAACGGATAGACATTTCCATGGCACCAGGATGGTATGTTACCTCACAGGTGTCTCAGTCAAGGATGTCACTGAATGACTGCATGACCATTTAAAGGGGTAGGGAAAACAGCTAAGGATGCGGTCCATTTTAGTATAAATGACACAGGTAACAAGATGGACGAGGTGCAGCAAGCAAAATTTAGGGAGCTATGAAATATAATTTTAAAAAGCAGTAATCTCAGGATCATTTCCAGTGCCATTTGCTATTAGCATCAGGAACAGGGGAACAGACTGGTTGAACATTTGTCTGCGGGGATGGTGTAGGAGGGAGGGATTTAGATTCTTGAGGTATTGGAACCGATTCTGGGAAGATGCGATTTAAATGAGCTGGACAGTTTGCATCCAAGCAGGACTAGGACCATATAACTGCACAGGCTTTAGCTATTACTGTGGGAGATTGGTTTAAACCAGAGTGGCAACAGGATGGGAATCTGATCAGAGAGAGGAAAATAAGGGAAACAACGATGAAAAAGAGAGACAGAAAAATAGCAAGCAAAAGTGGAAGGCAGAGGAAACAAGGGCCAGCAGCAAACAGGGCCATAATACAAATAAAAAATGGATGATAATGTTAAAAAGGCAAGTTTTGTTGGGGCGGGGTAGGTGTGGAAAATGTTGGATGACTAGAAAAATTGAGGTTCTGGTCAAGAAAAAGGTGGCACATGGCAGGTATAGACAGCTGAGACAAGGGAATCTCTCAAGGAGTATACTCAAGAGGGGAAGCAGGAGGGAAAAAGGGGACTTGAGATAGCTTTGGCAAATAGGATTTAGGAGAATCCAAAGAAATTCTACAAATACATTCAGGGCAAAAGAGTACCTAAGGAGAGAATAGGACCCCTTAAAGATCAATAAGGCTGCCTATGTGCGGAACCGCAGGAGATGAGTGAGACACCAGACGAATATTTCATGTCTGTATTTACTGTGGAGGAGGATGTGGAAGCTAGAGAATGTGGAGAAATAAACGGTGATATCTTGAAAAGTGTCCATATTACAGAGATGATGGTGCTGGACGTCTTAAAACTCATATAGGTGGATAAATCCTTGGCACCTGATTGGGCATTTTCCAAACTTTGTGGAAGATTGCTGGGCCCCTTGCTGGGATATTTTTGTCATGAATAGCCACGGGTGAGTTGCTGGAAGACAGGAGGGTGGCTAATGTAATGCCATTATTTAAGAAAGATGATAAGAAACAGCCAGAATACTATAGACTGGTGAGCCTGATGTCACTGATGGGTAAGTTGTTGGAGGGGATTCTGAGGGACAGGATTTATAGGTATTTGGAAAGGCAAGGTCTGATTAGGGATAGTCAACATAGCTTTGTGCATGGGAAATTGCTTCTCACTAATGTGATTGAGTTTTCTGAAACTGACAAAGAAGATTGATAAAGACAGAATGGTAAATGTTGTTAAATTGACTTCTGCAAGATGTTTGACAAGGTTCCTAATGGTAGGCTGGTTACCAAGGTTAGATTACATGGAATCTAGGGAAAGCTTGCCATTTGGATACAAAATTGGCTCGAAGGTAGGAGATAGAGGGTAGTGGTGGTGGAGAAAGGTTGTTTTTCAGACTGGAGGCCTATGATGAGCAGTGTGCCACACGGATCTGTGCTGGGTCCACCGCTTTTTGTCATTTATATAAATGATTTGTATGTGAATATAGGACTAATGGTTAGTAAGTGTGCAGATGTCACCAAAATTGGTGGTGTAGTGGACAGTGAAGCAGGTTATTTCAAGGTACAATGGGACCTTAATCATATGGGCCGAGGAATGGCAGATGGAGTTTAATTTAGCTAACTGTGAGGTGTTGTATTTTGGAAAGGCAAATCAGGGCAGGACTTAATGGTAAGGTCCTGGGGAGTGTTGGCAAACAAAGACACTTTGGGATGCAGGTTCACAGTTCTTTAAAAGTGGAGTCCCAGGTAGATAGGGTAGTGAAGAAGGTATTTGGTACACTTGCCTTTATTGGTCAGTGCATTGACTATAAAAGTTGGGTTGTCATGGTGTGGCTATACAGGGCATTTGTTAGGCCACTTTTGGAATATTGCATTCAATTCTGGTCTCCCTGCTATAGGAAAGACGCTGTGAAACTTGAAATGGTACAGGAAAGATTTACATGGGTGTTGCTGGGGTTGAAAAGTTTGTGCTACAGGGAGAGGCTGAATAGGCTATCTTCCCTGGAGTGTCGGAGGCTGAAACGTGACCTTATGGAGGTTTATAAAATCATGAGGGGCAGGATTAGGGTGAATAGCCAAGGTTTTTCTCCCTCAGGGTAGGGGAGTCCAAAACTAGAGGGCATAGGTTTAAGGTGAGAGGAGAAAGATTTAAAAAAGACATGAGGGACTTTTTTTTTTTACACAGAGACTGGTTCATGTGTGGAATGAACTTCCAGAGGAAGTGGTTGATGTGGGTTCAGGTACAATGTTGAAAAGACATGAATAAGAAATGTTTGGAAGTATATTGACGTAGCGCAAGCAGGTGGGACCAGTTTAGAGATAACAAGGTGTACAGCTGGATGAACACAGCAGGCCAAGCAGCATCAGAGGAGCAGGAAAGCTGATGTTTCGGGTCGAGACCCTTCTTCAGAAAAAATGAAGTCAGCTTTCCTGCTCTTCTGATGCTGCTTGGCCTGCTGTGTTCATCCAGCCCTGCACCTTGTTATCTCAAATTCTCCGGCATCGGCAGCTCCTACTATCCCCGGGACCAGTTTAGTTTAGGATTATGGTCGGCATACGCTGGTTGCTTCTACGTCAAGTCCTGTCATCAGTCAGTGTGTCCTGTGTCCTATCACAGTCAGTCAAGGGCAGCGTCTGAACTCAACTGGGGCTTGGACACAGTCAGTTGCTCACTTAGCCGGTTGGGGTCAAGGGATCTATATCATTACCTTCTGGGGAATGAGCCATGGTCAGTCATGCAGGTCCAGTGCAACCAGTCTGGCAATTAGTGGTAAGTCTATCAGGCAACTGCTTAGAAATTTGTTAAGTGTCTGGGCCATCAGTCAGGGCTATCCTTCCAAGCTAGATGGGGTGGATACCACATTGTCTCTTAAAGCTGAAGTTACAATAACAGTTGATGATATAAAGTAGCAATACATTTCTGAACATGAGCTTCTATTTCCAATGAAGACAGTAAGACCATAAGAAATAAGAACACAAATAGGCCATTTGACCCCTCGAGCCTATCCCACCATTCAATAGCATCATGGCTGATCTGACACTCCTCACGCCCACCTTCCTGCACTTTCCCTATAACCTTTGATTACCGTACTGATCAAGAATCTATCTCAGCCTTAAATATACATAAGGAAGGTTCACCCATGTCACCTATGTGCCCTCAGAGCTGTCTTTTTTTTTGTTTCCCTCCCAATATGTGCGGACCATTCATGGTGTGAGCTACTGACCTTGTACAGCTGGGCTTTAAATATTCTACCCACGAAAGAAATCCTGGAAATTCCTGGCTATGCTGAGGACCTCTGCCACTGCGGAGTGCACAATAGTAAAAGCAAGATACAATAAAGGTGTGGTGCACACATGATGAGATGAACAGCAGGGAACTGTGCTAAATAACCACTAGAGCTCAGAGAGAAACCCTCTACAAAAATCCCTCAAAGTGATACTTAGCCAATGTTTGGTTAAATTCAGCCCTTGGTTCTCCTTTTCAAAGAAACTTATTTTACCTTCTGAACTGAATTCTGGGCTTTTCTAGATAAAAAGTTTGATCATTCTGTTCTGAAGTCAAAACTAAAGTAAATTACCTTAATGTGCTTCCTCTGCCTGTCATAAACCCAAGAGCATAAATATTTTATCAATTAACACCACAGATGTTTGTCAGGCAGTTAGCTGAAGTCATATGCCTTCTTCAAAATGATGCATTTAATCACTGTTAAAAACTGCCTTTTTGACCTTTTAAGAAAAACAATCCTTCACAGAACTGACCCACAACCATCTGCCTAAATTTTCAAATCCAAACTTCAAAAATGTAATATATCATACAGCTTTCCTCACACCTTCTGCAAAAGTGAAAATGCAAAGGTATCCTTAAGAGGCAATAGCATCTTCTCAAACATAACGTTGTTCTTAACACCATTTCTATGGTACATCATCTGTAATAATTTATTTATAACGAATATGGACCAATTTTTCTAATAACCGTATTCTACGCAAGTTCATTTTGATCATGGCATTCTGTTTCATTCATATTTGCTCTTGAAAAGCACCTGCTATAATATTGTCTTTACCAGTCACATGAATGATTTCTAAAATTATACGGTTGTAGTATTAAACTCTAATGAAACAGTCTTAAATTCTCATCTGAAAACTCTCTAAAAATCTGAAGGCATGCCATTGTATAAATAATAGTCTCTTCAAAGTTATTAAACAAGTGAATTTCAAACTTTTGCAGAGTCAAAAGACATTTCTCTATTATCAAATATTTCTGCTGATAATTACTCAATTTCTTGGAATAATTGACTGGCTATTTCAGCTCCATTTTGTCCTCCTTTTGGTAA